AAGCCTATAGGTGAGACCCCAGTGGGCCCCCTGCAAGCAATATAGGGGCTAGCCACACCACTTTTGAAACCCCTATTTTCGATGGTTTCTCTTCGCCACACAGCCTGTGGCAATTGGAGAACCTGATGGGAAAATAAATTACAAGTTGCCAGAGAAAGCTTTTGGACACCAGTCACACCACCTTTCGGAGTCCTGAAGTGTGCGATCTTTCCTGATCGGAGCTCCTCCCTGGAGCCCCCCGTGGGAGGACCCCGCTAACACACACAATCATCATTCTGGTTACGATCATTATCCGGCGATCCGCTGCTCAGTTAACCCCCCAGCTCCCTGGGGTTGTCAATGCTGGCACCGCCTGGCAGTGGTGTCTGAGTTATTGTCTGAGTTATTGAGCTGGCACAGGACAGCATTCTGCATTCTGACTCTTTTATATATCATGGGACACTGGACCTGGTTTCCAGCAGGTGCTGCTCCCCAGCAATAGTCTGCTCCTATCAGCACCCCTACCACTGGCTGGGGTTGTTCAAAACAAAACAGAAAAAAAAAGAAAAGAAAAAAAAGAGAAAACTACGGCGGAGTCAGGGTTACAGTTTGTAATTGCATTTGGAACTGCGTTTTAGCAGTTTAGTCAGGGCCCGAGTTTCAATTGCATTTGAAACTGCGTTTTAGCAGTTTGAAACTCGGGCTGGCTTTTTTTAGCAGTTCAGTCAGGCACATGGCCGTTTCTTTCTTGCTTCGTTTTTTTTTGTTTTTTTTTTTTTGGTTGCGTGCTGTAATGCACCGTGCCACTCCGTGGCTAAAAAAAAAAAAACAAAAAAAAACAGCCCCATGGTTGGGACACGGCCGAGATGTCTCGGCCACAGCCGAGATTCGCAGGTACTAGTCTCAAGAGTAGCCTACTCCGAAGAAGTGGGGGGCTCCGGGCAGGGATGGAGGCCAAAAACAGAAAAAAGAAAAAGAAGAAAAAAAAAAGTAAAGAAAAGAGGAACTTCGAATCCACCTACGTAGGGAAGGCCCTCACCTCACCAGAGGAATGTATCTGGCCAGGAAGTGAGGAACATGAAACAGGTGGTTTTCCTTTTTTGTTTTTTGTGTGAGGTCCTTGTAGCGCCCTGCCAGCCAGGCAGGGCGGAATCCACGCGAGGCAGCTAACTGCCTGGCTTCATTCAGTTTAGCATCCTGTATAGGACCGCAATCACAGCATAAGGGATGTTTTTTTTTTTTTTTTTAAATCTGCTGTTCGTGGATAGACGAGGGCCCTCACTGAACTGCGCAGCCCGAGTTTCAATTAAGCCCGAGTTTCAACTGCGATTGAAACTCGGGCCCTGACTAAACTGCTAAAACGCAGTTTCAAATGCAATTACAAACTGCTTTTGTGACTGCGCCGTAGTTATCCCCCAAAAAAAAGAAAGGAGCTGAGTTATCTTCAAAAGTGCTTGCCTCCCCAGGGCAGAAGGGGGGGTAGGGCTTCTGGACCCAAGGGACCAGAACTTCGCCCTACTGTGTAAATGGGTGGTCAAGGCTTGTCTGGGCAATGAAGAGAAGCAGTGGAGATGCCTGGCTGAATACATCCTGAGAAAAGAATTTGGTTTGGCTGAGGAGGTCAATATCTGGCAGTGTTTGGTGTTGCTGAATCTGCCAGTCAAAAAAGTTAAATCTAGGCTCTGGGCAGGGATTCTCTTGGCTTGGAGAAAGTTAAAACCAGAACTGCTACGTGACCCAGTCACCAAGTTGGAAGTGAGTAACCAAAGCCTGTTCGATAATGCTTTAATCAAGCTGCCATCAGGTCTGCCAGTGGAGTCTAACTCAAAGGTTGGTTCTTTCAGTAGATCGTGGATAGCTGAAGGAGTGTTTTTAATTAAACACATTTGGGATGCTACAAACCAGGACTGGATTTCTGTTGATACACTTGGGCAGAACTGCCCAGACTACATAGAGTGGAGGAGAACTATCTCAAACTGCTGCAAGCCATTCCCGTTCAGTGGAAAACACTTCTGAAAGAATCAAGGGAATTTGGTATGGGATCTTGGTTGTTACATCCAACTGACTCAAGTAAAATCGTCAAGGTCTTAGGCCCAGACTTGTCCCAAGTAACAAAAGTGGAGCAGTGGATAAGAGGCAGAACGGTCAGACTGGGTTGCATACTGACTAAGGACTTCGAATTGACCTTGAGTTCTACAATGGATCTAACTGAAGTAAGAGTACTGGAAGACCAGCCATCGAATAACAAAGACCTGATTCTGCTGGAGGGAACGGCCCGAGACTTTTTGGTGGAGCCTATCCTCTATGGTTGGAAGGACAAGGGGGGTTACCGTAACAGTTCCTCTCTTATTCAATATACTGCGAAGGTGGGATCCGTTCATTTAAGGACGAAGAAAACCCAACCACTGGACGTGGCAGTACGTCGGTTCAAAAAAACCTATGGAGAGGGGATACCTCCACCAGATTTCAGAAGCCTATGGAAGGTACTTAAGGGTATCCCGTCACAAAAACAGGCAAGTATGATGTGGGTCCAGTCTATGGGTCTCACGGTGTCTGCTCAATGGTTGAGTATAAGAGGAAGGAAATAGATCAAACCTGTAAGAGATGTAAGCACAGTGGTGAAACTGCCAACCACATCTGGCGATTTTGTCCTCAGTTTGATGAAGTCAGATGAACTATGGAGATGGTGGAAGATCCAATGGGATGACGTGGTAGGCCTAGAGTGGCCCTGGACAGATGACTGGATCCTCTCGGCCAGCCCACCAAATGGCGCACGGCTCAATGATAATTGGGGCTATGTGGCCTTAATATGTCGGGGTTCAGTGATGGAAGTAATTTGGAAGGCGAACTCTGCCGTTTTCAGGAATCAAGAAATTCATTTTCATCAGCAGAGATCGATGGTGAAACAGTCGCTCAGACTTACCATTCTGTCAGATTGGAGGAGAGCTACCAAGAGTCTTGGCAAAGGAATCCTTTGGTTCCGTAGGACTTGGACCAAGGATAATTTTTCTAGCTTCTATAACATATGATCACAATCTTGAGATAGCCAAGTGGCTTTGTTAAATGGCCAG